TTAGCAAATAATATTGGATTATCTATTTTCTTAACAGATAATGGGAAATCATTTATGTAAATAAGGAACAATAAAGGCCCCAATACAGAGCCTTGTGGAACTCCATATTTAACTGGTTCCCATTTTGAAGTTTGATATCTTTCACTGATACTCTCTGATATCTATTTTGTAAGTATGATCTCATTAACTTATTTACCATGCCCGAGATTCCATAGAATTCCATTTTAGCCAGGAGTATGTTGTGATTAACACAGTCATACGCCTTTTGTAGGTCACAGAATAAACCACCAACACAATTCTATTTGTCTAAAGAAGACAATATATTATTTAAAAGAATGTGTGTTGCCATTTCAGTAGATGATTTTTCTCTAAATCCAAACTGTTCAGTGACCAATATATTGTGCTTATTTATATGGAAGTATAATCTTTTATAAATGATTTTTTCGATAATTTTGGAAAAGTTGGGGGGAGCGAGATAAGCTTGTAATTTGTAAATTCTGATTTATCACCCTTCTTGTATAACGACTTAACTTCTGAGAATTTCATTCTATCAGGAAATATACCTATTTGTAGGATCTTATTAAATATGTATGTTAAGGGTGACAAGACATACGGAGCACTAAATTTCAGAATTCTTAATGATATCTCATCATATCCATGAGAGTTCTTAGGTTTTAGTGAAAATATTATTTTTCAATTTCATGGGTATTTGTATTACCAAGTTTCTTTGATGGAAAAGAATGATAAAAATTCTGATGTAAATAAGATAAAGAATCTTTATTATTAACAGAGGCTTTCACCGAGGAGTTTCTGATAAGTAATTTTTCGGCTACATATGAGAAGTAACAGTTAAATGCATTGCTATAGCTAGGGAGTTACCAGATAATTGTTTTTTTAAGTTCATTGTAGTTACATTCTCATTAGGCCCTTTATTATTAGTAATGGTTTTTACTATATTCCAAGTAGTTCTAGTCTTATTGTTAGATTTTAATAAAAGTTTATTATAACAGTATTTCTTTGCTGGCTAAGATTCGACAATATTTCTTAAAGTGTTCTTTGTTATTAGGATCACTGCTGTTTCTCTAAGCTAAATGTATAATGGCTCACTGACAACCACTGCTGATATATTACTAATATTAAAGTCATTTTTCTATGAATTCACAGTTTTCCACAACTCAAAGACATAATTTATCTCCTCCTAATTAAAACATCCTACATCCTTGGGGTTACTTCTTTGTATGCCACCCCTAATCCACCCCTTCCATGTGCTGATTGGTCTGCCGCTCCTCCTTTTCCCCTGTGGGTTCCATTCTGCAATCTGTTTAGCAATTCTATAATCCTCCATTTGCATTATGTGGCCATACCATCTGAACTGCTGTTCTTCTATTTTCTTTAATATGTCTTTTTTTATTCCCACTTTTGTTCCAAATTTTTCATTTCTAAGTCTTTCCATCCATGATATCATGGCTGAATTCCCTGGGCAATCTATTTCCGTAGCTAATAATTTTTTACTGCATTTCCATTTTACTGACAATGTTTCGGCTCCATATGTTAAAATACCGATTTTTTGTTATCAATTTATATAATAATAAAACTGAATTTAGCATGGTAACTCTTCCTGTGTCACTAATATTTTTTTTTATTTCAAGGTGAGATAAGTCATTCTCTTGAACTAGTGATCCAAAATACTTAAAATGTTTTACAGTTGGAATTGTATTCCCACTGATTTACAATTCATCTAAATGATCTGTATATAATATTCACCTTTTCCATAATTTACTTTAAGATCCCATTTCTCATATTCTTCTTCCAATTTTCCCCCTATGTAATTAACATCCTCTACGCCTCTGGTAATTACAAATTCATCATCTGCAAAGAGTAAATTGTACACATAGCAGATGTCTACACTTCTTCATCCCATTAATTTACACTCCCTAGAACATTCTTCCAATACTGTATCTATGCATATTTTGAAGAGGGTTGGTGACAATGGACATCCTTGTAATAAGTCATTTGTATTACAAAATTTATCTGACAAATTTGATCTTACTTTTATTCTGCATTTCTTATAGCTATATATACAGTAAAACTTGGTTATAGCAACATCGGTTTCTGCGACACCTTGTCTATTGCGTCAAATATTCAATGGTACGAACTAATTCCTCATAAAGCAACTGTTTTTATACCTTGCTTAGTACGACATGCACAAATGCATCAACCTCGTATGTAACGTCACTTTCATTCCTGAATTTCTCTGATATCGTGGGAAAGTTAGATGTGTCTGCCCACCCTCACTTTCTCTACTTGTTGACGTGACTGTCCTGGAAGAATACGACCGCGATCTGCAAGAGGACCGTGGGTTTTATGCGAAAACAAGGGTGTGGGGTGGGACTGCGTGAATAGTGCAATAGGACGCGGCAGGTTGTTAACTGCATGCCTCTCCTAGAATCTCGTCTAACAGGACATCACATTGTCTACTTACCCTATAGTGTTCCTGCCTAAACCCAGAGAAGTGCAGTAGCGAAAACATGGCAATGAAAAGGAAAGTTTTAAGCATTGAAGAGAAAGTTAAAGTGATTCGTGAAATA